TGATTGTTATAATGTTGTACTCTTCCGAAAACGGCAAAACTGCTACCTAGATGTACAATGAATGTACATAATAAAATGTTGTTACAATGATTTTTATCGTATTTTTTATTTATTTTATTGTTAACATGATTCGATCATGAACAATAATGAACAACTCTATTACAATAAAAATTGTTGTTACATTAAATATTGGTGTATTTTCATTGTGGGTTACTTCACGAACAATAAAAATAAATCTGATTGAAGCATGCAGACTATGAGAGGGTCAGCAACACTGCCAATGTAATTAAGATAGGCGCTGCTCGTATGGCTCTGGCTTTGACAGTTCGTTTGGCTCAAAACCAGGCAGTCCGCGTCCGCTCATATCTTATCCTAGACCCTCTCTAAAGCTTAATGGAGACCTTTTCCGTGCAGTCAATAATCATACAATAATAATAAAAATTCCACCACTTGAAGATGTCTGGAAAGAACTCTCAGGTGGAAGCATATTTCATGGGCGATTCTCTCCAGTCGAATGCATTAACTTATCAACGACGCTCAACCATCAAGGAGACGTGACCTAGGGATATCGAGCGCAGGGGAGTTGGCCTGTATTTCTCACAAGTTCCAGATCGAATCTCGATCCATAACCAGTAAAAAAAGGACCACCCGTAACAGACATACCACCCCCTTCCCTTCCCGGGGCAATGTTTTATTTTTTCGATTTATTTTTAAAGTCGATAAAGTAGATCTGTCAAGCCAACACATACACTCTAAAGTACACTGTTATTTTTTTTAATCAATAAATTCGCCAACCAACAGAAAAATAACAATAATATATTATGTTATTGAAAAAAAAAAATTATATGGGAAAATCACGAAAATTTCATTGTTAAGATACTTAACAACCCCCCTTTTTTATTGTAAATTTTCCATTTATCATGAAATTTACTGTTTTGTACAACATAAATCAAGGTAAATTTATTGTAGACGCAACAATATAAATCATTGTTAAGACAATAATTTTCGTCTTATTGTTACATTGTTTTTTAATGTATTTTTGTTGTTATTTTTTTTCGGGTAGCCATTTGACAAAGGCATGAATCATTCTCATTTGAGAAACGCTTGAAATCATTCAATTGACCACTTTGTCAAGCAGTTTTGGCGTGACTTTCTACCAGCGATTTCACAAAACTGGACCAAATAATTTTTATTTTTTTATGAAACGCACAAATGTTTGCTACTTTTCTCCAGGTTCTAGAAGAAAAAAAACTAAAAAAAATGTTATATTTCAAAGTTCGAGTGGTAGTAAACGTCATTTTAAGTGCTCGAATAAAGTGGTTAATTGAGTGTAACCTACTCACCAACGGATCTGTGGTCGGCATTCCGGTGAAAAAGCTAAGCCAACCTGACACCAACCTGACTTCTATCAGACCCCAAGCCGATGTTGACCCGAAATTGACAAAAAAAAAATTGACCCAGCATCAACACGACATTGGGTCAACATCGATCTTAAATTGACCTGACATTGATCCATGTCATGTCTGTTCGGGATATTTTTTCTGGGTTTCTTCCATACTCCACTGTCGTATATAAATTAACTCATTAGTGACTCAATTGACTGTGATGATGCGGTCTGGACTGGAAACTGGACCTTCACATGATGTGCATAAGAAAAAAAAAAAACGTTGCGAAGAATTGATTGAATGATTGTATTGGTTCATCTTCAACCGATTTCTATAAAAATTAACAGCACTGACAGGATACACTACAGCTAAGGCACCTGTATGAAAACCCGAAATTTGATATTTGTTGAATCCAACATGTTTTCGATTTTGACGTTCTATTTCAGTGTTGGAAAAATCAACAATCAAATAATATTTTTCCTCTCTCATACGATCTCAACATCATGCGTGATATTGGAACAAATTATATGCGAGGGTATTCTAAACATGTAAAAATGAAGCTGAGAGTTGACTCGACACAAAAGAGAAAGAAACGGCGTCGGTGGTGTAGTGGTAAGCGTGATTACCTCTCACCCCAGCAGGCCTGGGTTCAATCCCAGACGGCGCCGCCGGGATGTTCTGAGGCATAACATCTCTGATCACGCCTTCCTTCGGATGGGAAGTAAAGCCGTTGGTCCCCGGTTCATGAGTAGATGGGTCGATAGGTAGGGTCCAGGTGTGGGAGCTGCCTTCCTGGCACGTCGGTAGCATTGGTGCTCAGCACGGAAAACAAGATCGACGGAAAAAACAAACCAAAGGAAAAAAAAAAAAAAAAAAGAGAAGATATAGTTTGCTATCTCTCTTCACTCTTCACCGATGGTAGCCACGAAGCTACTGTTGCCAGCAGTGACGGTAGTTTCGGGTCGCGATCTGGTGTAACGCTTAAATCATGAAACTCACCACGGTTTGGTAATAGCTAGTAAGTTTTGTTAGCTTGATATTCGTAGTTACGGTACCACAGCTTGTAATATCATCCACAGTTGCTTGCTAGTTGATTTTTGTCTTCGAATATCAAGCGTGATCTTGTGAATTGGCGCTATTTGATTTTTTTTTTGTATTTCTCCAACACTGTTCTAGTTTTATAGAATTTGACGTTTTGGTCAGTGACGAGATTTGTCATTGTCATTGACAGACTTTCGCACAATATTGACAAACTTGTTCTTAACATAGTCACTGATAGACTTGATCCTCAAAAAAAAAAGCCTTTGTCAAAATCTCATTCATATTTTCCTCAATGACAAAGGCTCACCTGGTAACAAAAAGTGTAATCTCGTGCATTCTGAGTCACATTATTGTTATCCAAGCAGTTCAGAACGTAGATGCTTCTTCACTTTAACGGGTCCATGTAATTGTTGTGCCCAAGTAATTTAATTTCGTTTAAAATTTATTTAATAAAAAAATCTGCACATGTTCGTCACTGACAATTGACATGGTTTGCCTTGACGATGACTGTTAGCGCAAATGAGTGACCAAAGCAAAATTTTGAATATCGCTGTGTATTTTAGAGATTTTGCAGCACTGTTTTTGGTGCTTAATCCTATTCTGAATCAGTAGTACAATTAACAGGTTGCTTAGATATTCCATTGTCATGCTGATTTCAAACTCCCAGGGAAGTGGTCAGGTTATGATATTAGCCTAAACTTACCCTTTTACTCCACATGATAATTTGAGAACAAGCTGCATCGAGTGCGAAGATCCACATTATATCATATATCCCCCAGGGAAAGTAAGAAAATCCGTACTTATACCATAGACTAACATTAAGACACAGTGGGTCCCGAAGAAGCATGCTCAATATTTTGGCTCAGGAAGTACCAGACCTTCGGTCCCAAGCTAATTTAAGCACCCATTATTAAGCTCTGTCAAATTTATTAGGTGGATCTAAGCAAACACAGATTCTAGTACGATAATAGGGTACGCTTATAAATGTACTTGGGACCAATGGGCTAGTCAAGTAATGAGTCAATTTAAAATCGTTAGTTTAATACCATAACATATTAATTAACACCTCATATCAACCATACCATATCAATTACATGTGGATCCAAAAAAGAAAACAAACGATGGCATTAAATCGAGTGCTCAGGACCACTTTGGCCATACCTGGACGCGTTCCAAATTCCTCTGGGAATTTCACCCCAAAACCTCATTATCATCATGTGACATATCAAATAACAAAGAAATTTAAAGCTAAGATCAGTTGATTATATTCAATATCTTTACAAAGATCGAGTATTCATCCATTCACCCAAACAACCTGAGACATAATTTCGATACTGTTAAATAATAAAATATTTGTGATTAATTTATGTTACCCTACTTGAATTCAAGTTAAAATTGCGATATTTTTACTATGAACAAAGTGGTGCTGGAATTAAACGGTGCTTCCAAGAATCACCGCTTTATGTATGCTGTTTAGTTCTCTTCACAGCTCCAGCCCTTATTATTGATATAGGGTAAGATAGGGTAAGATGCTTTTCCGGGTCAAGGTTGGTTTTTGCAAAATTTGAATTCATTTTCAATATATTTTCGTGTATTTATAATGCAGCATTGCTAGTTCAGACATTGAACTAGCAATGTTTCTTAACAGATCCTTCTTAAAAGAGGTAAAAAAAAGGTATCTTAAGCGCTAAAAAGTAATTTTGCCTCGGTGTTGCATCTTACCCCATTTTACTTTACATATTAATTTCATACGAAAATCGCACAAGCCGCTGAAAGGTGGATTAATCTGGTTTTTGTTTCGTGTTGAAGTCAATGATAAAACTATTAAGTGGCGTTCTGTCCCCTGCAGGGCTCTAGTGCGTTTTGGGCGGCTCTCCCCTGTCGCATATTTAATTCTTTTTTGCGTATTTCATTATTTTCTTGAAGCTTTGTCGTTCAGTTCAAAATGCAAACTGAGTTAAGATCTAAGAGCCAGCTTAAAAATCCAGTTAATACGTACTCATATTACCATACAATATTTAGTACCCCATTGACCTAAGTGCTTCAAAATAGTATTTGAATTTGATCGATCTCAAAATATACCTGAATATTCAACCTATGTATAAAAAGGATCTGGCGACACGGATCTGTTTTACTACTCCGCTTTGTCACTATTTCCAGGAGAGAGTAGTCCACATTTTGGTGAGCGCTCTCAGTTGAGTTGCGAAACCGAGTCTTCCACAACCCCTCCGGAATCAGAAAACATGAATGGACTACGAGGAAAGCGCGTGTTTTGCACCCTCCTCGTGGTGGTCCATACGAATATTGCACACAAGGAAGGGACATAGAAAGAGAAAGGCGGGTGGCTGGTGCAATTTCAGAAGGGGGTTGATGGTGATGCGGAAAATAAGCATGTGGTTGAAAAACTTACATCCCTTCTGGCGTCCCCGTTTACGTGTGTGTGTGAGGGGTTGAAATGAAAATCGCTGCGACGCCTGGTGATCAATCTTGGAAACTTTTCGCCATAATGTTTTCGAGTTTTTTCACTCAAATCTAGTAATATAGATTTTGCCTTAAAATTATTAAAAAAGTACTATTTAAACTAGTTTAACCGAATTAAAACTACTTTTAAAGCTAGGCGTACGTTCGAGTAAATGCGTTCGTGTAGAAATTAATTCGCTGTAAGTGCTATTGAGTGGGTAAAATCGACTTTTATTTTCGGGACATTTCGGGGATGAAAATTTTCCACACGGTGAACTAAACTATGGATTAGGACTGAGGTTTTGCTTGTGGGTCAACATGGTTTTTCGCGTGTCAGTAAGGAATTTCCGTGAAAAAGTTACTCATTCTATGAAATCATATGTGCTGGGATTCGTTCGGTAGTGTTTTCTTTTGCTTTGTGGACATTTTGGTTTATTTAATTGCGAAAACTATTTTTTAGTTCAAGGAGCATACCGTGCGTGTGGGGTGACAGCAGTGAAGATTTTTTGCTCAGAAGTGCCTACCGGATACGTGAATCAGTCAGGCCCAGTGTTTGAAATGGATAGATTTGCTGGAGACTGCTATGGACTGTCCGTTTGATTATGGTTTGTGATTTACAAAAAATAGCGATCTTGCATGAATGCAGGGTTGCATTGCAGGATCCAGATTTTTCAGATCCTACATACGGCAGAAAGAAGGGCTCTTTGTGTGAATGTGAAACCTACGGTGGTGGTTTGGTGGTGTATCCTTCCACGATGTGTCGCGTATCGGCTGAAGGCCAGTGCATGTGTGTGAGTAGGAATGTGTGTACCCGCCGTTATAGCAGCGACACATGGAAATCAGTTCATAAACAGAAATCAATATTATGGTGGAATTCTTCATAGTTCCGTTTTTAGTGGTGTAATGAAAACAGTTCTCAAAAATAGCTGATCTCGATCATCCACTGCACGTGTCTTGAGCGCCAATAGAGCATAGCTGCAAACGGTTTTACGATAGTCAGTTCAAAAACAATGCTTAAGGATTTTATCGCTTCATGATAACAGGATTTCTTAGAGTGCACAATAACATGTGGGTATGATATCACGGTTAAGGGATAGAGCATGATGAAAACTGAAACATTCTTCAAAAGAGATGCCGTTTTGTTGTCTGTGTTTGGTGACATATATCACTGTTTGTCATGTTGTTATGAGAGAGTTTCAGTTAATAACTTCAAGCTATTGAAGTAATTCACATTGTCAATGGGAGTAATTTAAATAATGCTACTCATTGCTAGAAAATGTTTTTTTTTTATGATCGATGTTTGAAAAATGATACTGAGAAAATATCACAGAAAGAGTGTGTGAACATAAAATATTTCATTTCTCTTAGAGTCACGCTGAAATGTTTGTAACGGATTTGTCCTACAGGCACTGATTAATTAGTGTCGCGTTTTGATTTTTTTTACCCGGTCTCAAAAGCTGGACGTTCGGTAAAACTTTGACCTTTATTAAAGTCTATTTTGGTCAAACATAATTCAAAAACAACCTTATTTTACAACATTAAAAATTCATACAAAACAGATGTTATTATAAGTTACACCTACGTTAAGAAAAGTTTATATTTGCAAACCCTGTTCCAAATTTCTTTGGAAGTCTTGTATTATTGAATATGATGCTGCAACGAATTTATAGACCCATAAGCATCGTATAGTTTGGAGCCTATTTCACGTATTCGTCATGCACTTTATTTTTAGATGGTATAATATCATTAAGAATCATAAATCAGGATTTTTCCAGCTGGTAGACAGGAAGCTCTGGTGCACATTTCCCAAATAATTTCCCATTGAGGATTTGGCAATTCTAATTCTATTCTCGGAACAATTTTAAGTTCCTGAATCAAGCTTTTATAAATCAAAATGCATGTGTTTGATCTTACATTACTGTATCAAAAATAAGCTATAAACATATTATTACTTATAAATCAATGATCATATTTTTAAATACAAAAAAGTTTGTTTTGTGTCATGCTCTTCTTAACACATTAAAAATATAAAACAATGAAAAAATTACTCCTCAAGGTACTGGTATCATCTTAAATTTAGTTACTTATATAAGATTTTGCACAGTACATTTTTGTATATTTTGGAGGCATTGTTACAGTATATTTTTTTTAAACTATTTCAAGGCTTTATAAAGCTCAATATCCTTTTGTAGATACACTTTATAAATATCGCTCAGTATCAGCAATTAGAATTCAATAGGTCGTAGTTACGAACACGTTGAATTAGGTCGTTCTTAGCAAAAATCGTTTTTTTTTGTTCGTGTTTGATCAAAATGACGTTTCGAATAAATACTGAAGTAATGAAAGAACCCAGTCTCTATCATTAGGTACAACAATATTGATATCATCAGCGAAGCAACTGTTTTGATAAAACAATTGTCTATGAAACATAGATCATTCGAATCAAAGATTCAATAGATGCAACACGGAAAGGGCCATGCTCAATACCCCTGTCGAACGGAGGAAGCTATTTTAACCGGTCCCATGAGGAATCCATTGGATAGGATTTTCCAGGAAGCTGTACCATAGAGATTGTTTATGAAATTTATAAATTGCTGGGGGAAATTGTATTTTTCTAGCAGGATCTTCAGAAATTCTTGATTTACCTGGTCCAAACGCTTTTTCAAGTCTATATGTATTATGAAACCTTTCATTTGTTGAGCAAGCTTTAAATTGTCCAGACCAGAGGCTGCTTGGCGTGGACCAATAAACAGAGTAGTCGGTTTATCAATATTTTAGTAAATATGTTATAGTTGCAATTTTACTATATCGGTTTGCCGTTTGTTATATCGTGGGAATTGATTTTTAATGAATAAGAGTAATTGTTGTTAGAGCTGATATAAGGGCTCCCTTAGCTCAGTCGGTAAAGGTGTAGCTACAAAATAGGACCATGGTATTGGCTGGGTTCGAGTCCCAGTCCGGTTTAGGAATTTTTCGGATTGGAAAATTTCTCGAATTCCCTGGGCATAGCGTATCATTGTACTTGCCACACAATTATACATAGTGTATGATTGTATTTGCCACACAATTCTATGTATAACATGGTAGAACGATGCACACTGGCCTCGATTCCTTCCAGCAGAAAAAGCAAACGAAGTCGAGTATGCGAGGGAATGAGCGCTTCTTGTTTACTTTTAGCCTATCTATATCCCGAAGCATAGAGAGAGCAGTAGAGAAAGCACAGGTCTTGTAATCGCAACGGTCGTGGTTCGTGTCCCTCCCCCCAGTCGGCACCTTTTTATTTTTCGGCATGATTAATTTCATTCGCTAATACTCATCCAATCCTCATTTTTCTTTCTTCATTTTCTTGCATCGGACCGCAGCTCGGTATATTCATGCGGTCTCCACTAGCATCCTCCGATGATGCTTCCATCTATTAACGTCTCTTTAAACAAACCCCTTGAAGAGGTGGATATAGTTCATTAAAGACGGCCAAATCGCAACCAGCACCAAGCCGATTAGCATCCCTAGGTAGCGATAATCACGGGCTACTTATAGCGAATTCGTTTATTATTCAGTTCCAACCTGGATCGGGTATCAAGATTGAGTCTGCTTATTTTCTGACAAACGTCAGTTTGCTCGTTTGAGGTTCACACTGACAAAAAGTTCGGTTTCGCATTGGGTTGGAACTGGTGTTAGCCCCGATAATAAACGAATTCGCTATTAGAGTTGACTATAACCTTTTTGCTCTGTCATCGTCATCACTGACACTAGCGACTTATAAACAATAGTGCATTAGTGGCGACGATGATCCCTCGTTCTCAGCCCAGTGGCAGGCGCGTAGGCAACATGTCATACCGTGACAGCGGGCCCAGTACAGCAAAATAAACGATTTGAGCCCGGGACATGCTGTCTACTGTCAAACACTGCTGTTGGTATAGGCCTTGCCACTGGCCTGCTCGTTCTTGTTCGCATTACTGACGGCAAATATCAACGCCAGCAATCGCACCGGGCACCACGTGGAGGTAAGAATCGGAGTTCAGGTGCACAGAGGTCGCAAATCGCCGATCAGGGCAGAGCCAACCAAACATTGATAGGCGTTCTTATGCACCTGCTTTACCCGGCTCTCCGATTATGAATCCCGCATAATTGTAAGCGAATCTTACATCCCCAGTTGGGTGTACAGAAAGGGTTTATCCATTCGTATTTTTTCTTTAATCTTAAATTCTGTACAGAAATTACTCACGGTTGAATTAGAATCGTTTGAATCTAGAATACACTTAAAATCTCCCAACAGGATTTTAGGATGTTAACTTGATAAATGTGGTATTATATCTTCTCTGTCGATTATCCAGTCAACCCCTTAAGGTGATTCCTTGTAGAGTCCACAAATGGCCACCCTAAAAAGGAAGGCTATACATGTACTACCACTTCGAATTTTCAATTACACAAATCTCAGAAATTAGTGCCTCAATTCACCTGAAATTGCTACTTTATGTATATTGCAGTGCAGCGTAAATTGTTTTTACGAATTGTTTAAGGAATCTAAAGCTTGCAAGAAAGTAAATCCAAATAATAGATTTTTTAAGGCTACGAACCTAGTATATATATATATATATATATATATTCACAAGGAAAATTCCTGACACACTAGAAACAATTTGGATTCTAATTGGAATTCCCTTAAATTTTTCATCATTTCCTGATTTTGTTTTGAAATTCACTCTACAGTATTGTTGGTATTCTCATGAAACCTCGCACTTCAGTTTATTATATGTATTAAATACTCTTGTTATATTCATTACAATTCCTTTGGTAGTTTCTTCAGATTTACCTACCTACATTTTTCAGAAACCTTTTAAAATTCCTTATGATTTATTAAGAACCCATTGAAATTATCACTCGAGTCACACAAATTTCTTTAGAATTCTAGCCAACATTGTCGATCTTTGAAGTGCCAGACTGTTGATAAACAAGCTAATTATAAAAACTTTGAAATATATATCAGATTCTTGGGAAAGTTCTATAATCGTTGGTAGAGAAAAAAATCAAAGTTACAAATGAGATTTAAAGAACAAAATATTTTAAAATTTTAAAATCTGAATAATAATTCTCAGTCTTTCAACAAAAATCAACAATCATGAAGATTTTTGTAGCCTGTAATTTTATTAGGTGAAATTTCATTTTTAGCTATATCTAGAAAACTAACCTACTGAAATTT